TCTCTCGAGCAGCTGGGCTTGACGCAGGAGCGCATCTCAACCCGCGGCTTCGCTATCCAATGCCGTATCACCACTGAAGACCCCACTAAGGGCTTCCAGCCCGACACGGGTAAGATCGAAGTGTACCGTTCCTCCGGCGGCAACGGAGTGCGTCTCGATGGCGGCAATGGCTTCGCCGGTGCCATAATCACTCCGCACTATGATTCTATGTTGGTCAAGTGCACATGTCGTGGCTCTACGTATGAGATTGTACGACGCAAGATGTTGCGCGCCCTCATTGAGTTCCGCATTCGTGGAGTCAAGACTAACATTCCATTCTTGGCTTCCGTTCTGACACACCCTACCTTCATCGATGGAAATTGCTGGACTACTTTCATCGACGACTCGCCCGAGCTTTTCTCTATGATTGGCAGCCAGAACCGCGCGCAGAAATTGCTTGCGTATCTGGGTGACGTGGCTGTTAATGGGAGCAGGATTAAGGGACAGATTGGCGAGCCTAAGTTCAAGGGTGAAATTAGCATGCCTATCATGGTGGATGAGAGCGGTAATCCTGTAGATGTGACGGTTCCTTGTACGCATGGGTGGAAAAAGATTATTGATGAACAGGGCCCTGCTGCTTTCGCCAAGGCTGTTCGCGCGAATAACGGCTGCTTGATCATGGATACTACATGGAGAGATGCACATCAGTCTTTGCTGGCTACCCGTGTGCGGACGGTGGATTTGTTGAACATTGCCAAGGAGACGAGCTATGCATACTGCAATGCTTACAGCTTGGAATGTTGGGGTGGTGCTACTTTTGACGTGGCAATGAGATTCCTGTATGAGGATCCGTGGGATCGTCTGAGGAAACTGAGGAAGGCTGTGCCTAACGTTCCGTTCCAGATGTTGCTGCGTGGGGCAAATGGTGTTGCGTACTCTTCGTAAGTTGGACAGCTTCCTATGTCTCTCTTCTGGTGATTTTGCCTAACATGTATCTAGGCTTCCGGATAATGCTATCTACCATTTCTGCAAGCAGGCCAAGAAATACGGCGTGGATATCTTCCGCGTATTTGATGCACTCAACGATGTCGATCAACTCGAGGTTGGCATGAAGGCCGTCGCAGCTGCTGGTGGTGTTATTGAAGCTACCATCTGCTACAGCGGTGACATGTTGAATCCCCACAAGAAATACAACTTGGACTATTACCTCAGCCTGGTTGACAAGGTCGTTAAAATCGGAACCCATGTTCTGGGGATCAAAGATATGGCTGGCGTCCTGAAGCCTCAAGCTGCCACACTCCTCGTCGGAGCGATCCGTAAACGATACCCAGACCTCCCTATCCACGTACACACCCATGACTCCGCCGGTACCGGCGTTGCATCCATGGTCGCCTGTGCACAGGCAGGTGCTGATGCCGTCGACGCCGCTACAGACAGCATGTCCGGCATGACCTCCCAACCTAGCGTTGGCGCCATACTCGCCTCTCTCGAAGGCACAGACCTTGATCCAAAACTTAACATCCGCAACGTGCGCGCCATAGACTCTTACTGGGCTCAACTTCGCCTCCTCTACTCACCCTTCGAAGCTGGCCTGACTGGTCCAGACCCAGAAGTCTACGATCATGAAATCCCCGGCGGACAACTTACCAACCTGATCTTCCAAGCCCACCAGCTTGGTCTTGGAGCTCAATGGGCTGAGACGAAGAAGGCATATGAGCAAGCTAACGATTTACTTGGCGACATCGTGAAAGTTACTCCTACATCGAAGGTCGTCGGTGACCTTGCTCAATTCATGGTTTCCAACAAACTGACCCCCGACGACGTCGTCGCCCGCGCAGGAGAGCTCGACTTCCCCGGCTCTGTCCTTGAGTTCTTCGAGGGCCTCATGGGCCAGCCATACGGCGGGTTTCCCGAACCACTCCGCTCCCGCGCCCTCCGAAATCGTCGTAAGCTCAACAGTCGTCCAGGCCTGCATCTCGAACCGCTCGACCTTGCCAAGATCAAAGCGAACCTTCTCGAGCAATTCGGCACAGCCACCGAATGTGATGTGGCTAGCTACGCCATGTATCCCAAAGTCTTCGAAGATTATCGCAAATTCGTCGCGAAGTACGGTGACCTCTCCGTCTTGCCTACGAAATACTTCCTCGCCCGCCCGGAAATCGGGGAGGAGTTTGCCGTCGAGCTTGAGCAGGGTAAAGTGCTCATTCTCAAGTTGCTTGCCGTGGGACCGCTGTCGGAGCAGACTGGTCAGCGGGAGGTGTTCTATGAAATGAATGGGGAGGTTAGGCAAGTGGCCGTCGATGACAATATGGCTGCGGTTGACGATACAAGTCGGGTCAAGGTGGATTTGAGTGATAGTAGTCAAGTTGGCGCACCAATGAGTGGGGTTGTTGTGGAGATTCGGGTACATGATGGGTTGGAAGTTAAGAAGGGTGATCCGTTGGCTGTCTTGAGTGCGATGAAGATGGTGAGTTCACACTGGTTTTCTCTTTTTGATTTCTTCTTGCCTTAGCTATAAGGACCATTGCTGACTTTTTTTTTTTTCTTCCGTTGCAGGAAATGGTTATCTCTGCACCCCATCATGGTGTTGTATCAAGTTTGTTGGTTAAAGAGGGAGATTCTGTCGATGGACAGGATCTTATCTGTAAGATTATCAAGGCTACTTGAAGGGACTGAGAGTTTCAATAGAGAAGTGACTTTTACTTTACCTATCTATGTATACACATTGTCATGAGATTGCCTTTTTCCTTTCTCCTGTTTTCCTGTTGTTAACCTGGTTCGTGCCATTCACGTCTCTAGCTTTACCCTGTTGTATTTTCCTTTTTATTTTCCGTTTTCTATTACTTTGATTTACGCTTGTACGACATTCAACATTCTTACATATATACACATATCTCTTTACATCTTTATCTTTGCGTTGAGTTAGGGTAGTTAGTCTTAACTAATGATTAATTTCCTCTACACAAGGAATTGAAAAATGAGAAATGTTTATTCGTCGACAGTTTCTGTTTGGTTAACGCGTATTATTATGCTTATCCAATTTTTTCTCGTATATTTTATGTAAAAGAATCTCCATTATAAATTTTAGGTATTTCGTATTCTTTTCTCTATCGCGAAGCATACATGGAGATTGTATAATTAGGGGTTCATGAAAGCAGTTGAAATAGCCTTCTCAGCCTCAACCCTCTAGGTCACGTGTACTTGGGTTAGCGCAGAACTTTAATTTATGCTTCCCTCGATCGTTCATACAAGTCAACAACATCAACTCTGGAATATCAAGAGCGGCGATTGACAAGGCTGTCTAGAAATATCAACTGCAGGATATAGCCCCACCCACCTCGCTCTCCTGGTAAACAATACCTAATAGAACTGTATATATACCACCAGATCTTTACCATTTCGTCGGGCTTGAAAATAACGAACAAACCAAAACACTCCTCTTCCTATAGCAACACCTACACCTTTTCCTCCCAATCTTCTAAAATATCCACGAGAGGAAAACCATGGGCTCCGTAGTTCTTCCTCATCTCACCACAGGCTGGCACGTAGACCAAGCCATTCTCTCCGACGAAGAGCGTCTCGTCGTCATCCGCTTCGGTCGCGACTGGGACCCGGATTGCATGCGACAGGACGAAATCCTTTTCCGCATCGCCGACCGCGTCAAGAACTTCGCCGTCATCTACGTCTGCGATATCGACCAGGTTCCGGACTTCAACCAAATGTACGAACTCTACGACCCCATGACGATCATGTTCTTTTTCCGCAATAAACATATGATGTGCGATTTTGGAACCGGGAATAATAATAAGTTGAATTGGGTGTTGGATGATAAGCAGGAGCTTATTGACATTATTGAGACAATTTATAAAGGGGCGAAGAAGGGGAGAGGTCTCGTGGTTAGTCCCAAGGATTATTCGACGAGGTATCGTTATTAGGTTTGATGTGGTGTGAGAAAGGGGAGATTGAGATGGTGCGATATAGAACGGTTGACGATCAGTCGAGTCGAAGCGTATTGGGTCATCTGCAGTGCGTCACGGGACTTGGGTTACTGTCACTTGGGGTTTATTTATGGAATTATGGCTCTTTTCTGTCCTGTGTTTAAATCGTCTTGGGGACGTTACAGAAAGGGGCTGACTTGTCTTCATGATGTGGTTTCATGAATGTTTACAGGGCAAACTGTGAGAGTCCTTTATTTTTTTCTAGAGATTTGCAGTTTTTTATTGACAGCTTCTACAGTGATCACTGATCAGGCTCTATGTCTTGGCCATATGCCTGTCAACTAATCCTAGTAAGTATATGACAAGCGTTAATCCGAAACAAGTGGTCCATACAGTCCTGCCGGAAACCCTGTACATTTGAGGCACAATAACATACGGAAGCTATGACGGATTATGGGACGAGAACATTCTATAACAGAAAAAAATGCACAACACAACACGAGTTCAAAGGAGACACCCCTGAATGATTTGGAAGACTTCTGTGGATTACGGATGGTTTGACATGGGGCTGATTTTTTTGGGACCAGATCCGAAAAACAGTAGTAGAAAGGTGCTGTTGAAATCTGCTACGGAGCTGGCGTGACGCTGTTGGGTGGTGAAAATGATAAGTCTCTTTTACGAAAGAAGCCACTGTGTGGCAACATCATGTTGGCTTATGACGGAATGTGACTAGTCGCCGATCTGGATGGAATTTGATATTCTTCATCCTCACACGACCCTCTTACAATTCTATTAACTAAGGTTTTAGAGCACTTTCCATCTTTCTACCTGTTTCTAGCAACATAAAGAAATGTTCATATTTGAAATAGTTTTATTAGCCTGGTCAATACTCCAGATTATCAAAAACATACCATAACAATAACAACCTGTTAGAAAAAGGGCACGAAATATGATATCAAAATATGTGCATCAAGTAACATAAAATGTCCATGAAATATGCACTTTTCATATATTCACTTATCATACTGACACCTGTGTGGTCTCTCCATACCGCGATGGTGCCTGCACCGCTCAACTCGCACTTTAACTGCTACTTGCAGTCGGCTTCGAGGGCTCGGTTCCAGAAATAGGGGAACACTTGTCTAAGAACGTGGCAATGGGGATGTCCACAAGCTTCCTGTCGAATAGGGAGTTATCATTGTTGTTGATTTGAGACTTGATAGCTAGTACCATGTCAAAATTTGCGGCAGACACAACTTTTACGCCAGAGGTTAGGGTGTCGCCAGGGAAGCAGAACCCGTTTTCATCTTGATGCAGGGCATAATTAGTTAGATTTTTGCAACATTGACACTCAGAGAGCCTTGAAAAAGGAACTGGAACATACCAAAACCAGCCGTGGCATTGAGATTAATCGTCGGCACGCCAAATGTAAGCCCTGCCTCGATACCTGTATTATCGAGAACTTCCACGCCCAAGGTGAGTGCTATTTGCGGACCGGCCATAATATTCGCAGTAACGGATGCATTATCAAAGTCGAAAATGGGATCGACTTCGACATTATCAAAGCTTGTAACCTTGCTGTTTTCAAAATCGACAAGGTCAAGGGAGATCTTAGAGCCATTAGGGAGACTGGACTTGGCTCCAAAGGTGAATATTGCAGTTCCTGACACCTCTGCGTTACCTTGTATATTAAACGCCGCTTTAGCACCCAAGGTGAAAATATTGGGGACAACAATGCCTGCCCCTGGGATGGCAGCCTCAAAAATGGGTTGGTCAAAGTTGAAAATTTCGAGGCCTGGGGCTGTTTGAGAGACTTCTGCTTGCAACTGAATTGTAGCACGCAAGTCTTGTGGTTCGATTTCCAGAAGGAGAGATGAGGGTTGGAAGTTCTCAACCTGATGGCGCATATTTAGCAATGGTTATTTCCATTGGATCTGGGAATAAAAGTGTTGTGTACCTTCACAGATCCGGTTGTTGCGAAGCTGGCTTCGGCAAAGCAATCGTTGCAGGAAAGTTTCAAGCGGGGTGGATTTCTGAGTAGCAAATGTTAACCGTACCCTCAGCATGCGACAGGATAAGGAGTACAACGTACTTCGTAAAATCCTCAAACAGCAGCTTCGTCACTCCTTTCTCTCCCACAGAGAATGGAATAGTTACAGATTTAGAAAGGTCGCCAGCTCCAATGCCTTTGATCTTATCAGCCACAACATCAAAACCATCTTTAGCCTTGTCAAGCAAGTCTTTAAGACCACGAGCACGCAGAGACCTCGTCGTTGAAGGAGGTACATTAATTTTGCCAAAAGACATGTCGAAAGTGCCAGCAACCTCATTCCAGTTAGCCAGAGTGGAATTAAGGAAGACGGTATTATTAGACTCGTCATTATCGACGTCAGTGATACTTGGAAATTTTTTTTTTTTTGATTAATCACGATATACAGATCATATTGCTAGGAGCGAGGAAGACATACCGATAGCTCTGTCGTTCATCAGCCGGACCACACCCATCATGGTTCGCAATCATGAGAAATTGCCTATCCGTAACTTCATTGATATATGACCATGACTTTATGGCGTAATTGAAAGCATCTGTAGATTTAAAAGTAAGAGAGATACGCCCGTCGTTTCCATCGCAGTCCACCACAGACGTTAACCCCTCGAACGCCTCCATCATGACAATTGGCATATTAGGATCCGCATAGAGAGTCATATCCGCAAGCCGGATCGTTTGCTTGTCTAGCAAGAAGGGAAATGAAATGTAACATCAGCATCAAAATAAATTCTCAATCGATCCACCCTTTATAACAACGTAAGAAACCTAGAATATTGACCTCCCACTTTCCCGAAGACCATCCGCACCCTATCAGCGGGATCGATATTCGTGAAACGTGTAGTATCCCGCACCTCGATACTCCCAGTATCTCTTGACGTCAGCACATTGATTGGTTTGTAGATGGGAGCATCACTGCGATTCCCCAGTCCATTGCGCGAAGACAAACGTCCAATATGAGCTGCTGCACAACCAAATCCCGCAAGAACAGAGGCAACGATAGCAAAGAACGACATGTGCATTTTCAAATGTGCCTCAAAAAGACATAAATCAAACACAAAAAAATAATAATCAAAGAATGGGTAGAGAGTGACTGAATGCAAATGAAAGAATGAAGAGAAGATAAATTCAAGAGCAGCGAATCTATCACATCTTGGATAGGGGTTTAGAGGAGTCTGCACACAGCAATGGGGATTACGATAAATATATCAGGGGAACCAGCGTCCATTTTTCATCCCATATTTCTCTCATCAGAAAGCTGGAGCAAGGAGTGAAGCGAGAAAGGTTAGAATGCAAAAGGCATCAGCCCCTTCGCTTCATCAAGCGATGCATTCATACTCCTCGTCTACCCCTTACCATTGTAAAGAATCCGAACGAACGGCATGCCGCTACCGTCCCAAACACACAGAAGCTCTGTCCATTGGACCTCTGAACTAGATGAGGGGCGAGTAAAGATCTGCAGCAGTCTGAAAAGCTCCCTTGCCCCTATCAGCTCTAGCAATCGGCCACTGTGGAGCCAGCATCGAATCATACGTGATCCATGGATTTCGGGATGTAATGAAATAGGGCCGTGTCTGATCCTGGTCGGAACGGGATAACTATAGAAAATTAACAACAACATCTGGAGGGCCTGGTGGTTAGAATGCCCCTAGGCCCCAAGGCTGAAACAGATTGCAGCCGTTCTGTAGTAGAACGTAACAAGCTGAAGCAAGGAGCAAAGGGTTTGTCAATGGCTTCATATGTTAGAACTGTCAAGGTGTAAGTTTGTTGGTTATTAATTGATAGGATGCAACTGAAGTGGAGAGCGCCAGCCAACCAGTGCCCCATCGATTTGAAGTTCTCCTTTGGAGGGATCGCCAACCAAAGTTGATGGTTAGTTAAAAAGGGGGAGATTGACATGACGGTAACCTAACTAGTTAAAAAGTTTCTTGTAACAATTCCCCAGTCACTTCGGACTCGAATGACCCTGAGCAGCAGAAGGAAGCTGGCTTGAAACTGACCAGCAAGTGGGATTCGAAACAGCGGTTTAGACTTGAAAGTCCTCTCTCTGTCTTAAATATGCGAAACTGTGGTCGTATCTGCAAATATTCACCATATTTTAAACCCGTTGTACCCGCATCTTTAAATAACTAGCATGTTCCCAATAAAAACATATAGATACTCGGTTTTCTGTCGTTTAATCTCTTGCTCTCAGCGCATAAAATAGGAGAAGAGTAACAGAAGAAAAAAGGGCCCGACTAGGTACCTGCTTCAAGCTCTGTAGTTATTATTGTCCATTCAAAAAATAGGACCAACTACAGTGCTCCGTCATCTACGAAGTCCGTCCACACCTTTCAAGGACATGCATACATACCTGTAGCTGGGGGTGCATATAAGTACTTTGCTTCATTATTTCTTATAAGCGTCTGGTTACAACCAACATCGCCTGCCAGTCTCTGTCTCCATCTGAGGAGAATACTAACTATGCTATGTCCTCAGTCAACTTAAATGTTGTTATCTTCGAGGGAAGGCTGGGTTATCGTATTTACCCTTGATTCAAGTGATACATCAAATTTTACGAATCTAACAGACGACATCAAAGAATGCCGCGGAGGAAAAGGGCGATCGCAGGAAGGCATTTGAAGAATGAATAGAGGGGAAATCATCAATAATTAATCAGTTCGAAACCAAGGGTTGGGGGATAGAGGCTAAATTAAATAGAGCAAAAAGAGGTTGTTCAAATACATTAAGTGTAGGAGGTTATTTACGAATGGAATGGGCAACAAGGTAAAACTGAAATTAAGTGTGAAAAGATACAGAGAGATGCAACATTAAAACACGAAAGAAAGAGGCATGAAACTAGACACAAGAGATACGAAAAGAGGGCGGGAAGGAAAGGAAAGGGAAGGGAAAAGAAGAAGACAAAATAATAAATAAAACAAATTAAGGGAAAACCTTGGTCCCAACCCAGTAATTACTATCATCTCACATCTCTAGGTATAAAAACTGGGTTTCTGTCTTTTTGCTCATTTAGGTCTTGAAATCATGAGAAACGCTTCAACAACCGACCCATCACCCTTCAATACTTTTCCACCCGTGTAAATATCATTATCGGCCTCTAGCTTAACGTACACAACAACCCTGTTCGAACAAACAACTCAAAACGGTCTGAATCCGGTTGGCTGCGGTGTAATCCCATTCGCATGTCCGAACGGAATAGGACTGACAGACGGCTGCACCCCAAGCCCAGAGCCCGTTGCCGATGCGGGGCCCTGCGTAAGCATAAGTCTCGATCCACCGAGGACAGGCGTATTGTCTTCTTCCTTTTGCTGGGAAGCTTCGCGGGCTTTGCGCTCCTCATTATCCTTCTTGAGCATCTCGATTGTGCGCACTTGCTGGCTGAGCAGGTTAATCATGTATGGCATGGAAAAGTCGTTGAGGTTGTAGCGCCAGGAGATTTCCATGACGACATCGGGACGGATTAGATCATAGCAGGCGTAAAGCATGCCAACGTAGCATTCTCGGCTGCCAATATCGACGAACTGGTGAGTGGGATTGGTTAGTATATTACAGTTAACGTCAGCAAAAAGAAAGCAGAGAGAAACACACGTATCGTAGCAACTCCTCGACAACATCGGTCTTGCCAGAAATAGCAGCAGTCTCAATAGCATCCTTGAAAAGCTTATCCTGCTTCGACAAGGAAATCGACTTCTCCCACCGCTTGTTCTTCCTGTAGATGCTAGCGGCAATCTGTCTGAAAAAGACCAGGTCATGCTTCTCAAGTCTCTGAGCAAGTTCGACAGGATCATAATTATCATAATTCTCAACCGAATCCCGCAATGTCTTATAGTCCTCCTCTTCAATCAACAAATCATTAATAGCATTGTTGACTGCTTTCTTGTTCTGTGGTTGCACGTTGAGCAAGAATGGTTTGATCAAGGGGATATTATCAGATTTCTCAAACATGCGCACGACGCGGTTGACATCAATGCGTGGCGTAAGGGCTTGGAGCAGATCCGTCAGCAGCAGAGGTTGTTCCTGCAGGTAAAAGTTCAGTGCGCGGTAGTAAATTTCCAGATTGGCGACCTTGACTATGATATCCTTGAAAGAATGGTGTTCCCAGGCATCTGCTGCACGCTCCATCATGGCGAGCGCAGCATTATCCCATTCATCATAGTGGCAGTACAAGAACACCAGCTCAGGCCATAGGTTTGCCTCCTCGCAGGCTCGGATCATCTTCGGGATGTTGATTCGCGTCCAGAAGAGTTTCAGATGTTCCATTACTCTGTCAGGATGGTACTTGGAAAGTGCAATACCCAGTTCCGTGAACATGCCCATGTGCGCTCGCTCCAGACCAAGCCCGGCTTCCAAGACAGCAATAAGCTCATCGAAATAACCATTGCGCTCGTATTGGCGAACCAAATCCTGCAATTCCTCCGCGTGGACGATGAGATTGAGACCGCAAATCTGAGCGAGGCGAAATTCCTTCTTAGACACGCAGGCCTCGCTGACTTGCTTCCAGACTTTGGCGTTGTTTGCTTTCCGCGCGCACTCGACAGCAGCCTGATATTCTTCCAGATGGACAAGGGTGGTTGCAAGTTTCGCCCAGTTGGAGATGCTGGTATAGAAGATCTTGGCAGCTTGGTGGAAACCTTCCTCGTATGCCTTGTCACCAGATGCTTCGACGTCTGCCACGTTAATACCGTGCAGGAAATCCTCGAGTTCACTTAGCTGATCCAGTCTAGCATAGGCAAAAGCCAAGGCAGTATCAACTGCTGGTTCCCGCAAGGTTTTCCGAGCCATTTTGAGAAACTCGACGAGATCCTCGTCCTTGCCGGCGTGAGTGGCTGTTTCGATGACTTCATTGTAATTCGATGGGTCACCTGCACGGATGTATGAAGCAATTGAATCAGAGACACGAAGACCATCCAACTGAGCCTTAGCAACCTTGCTCCAAACTTCAGGAAGTTCAACACGCTCCGCATATTCCTGTGCACGATCGATGCTAACGATGGAATCAACAAGGACATTAGTAGCAGCCAGATGACTATCAACCTTCTTGTAGATTTCAAAAGCCTCCTCATACAACCCTACAGAAATACACATAGTCGCAATTTCATCTGCATTGAACTCAGAAAGTTTATGGATGTAATCCATCAGACGACCCTTATCGGCTTTGGCAGCAGTAAGCATCAACAGATTTTGCAAACTGCTGTTATCGCTGAAAGGTGATGGCTCCAAAATGATCTTTTCCAAAAGCTCAATGAGTTCTCCAGGCAAATCAGCATCGAGGAAAGCCTTAACGGCAACGGACACCTTATCTGGCTCGGCAGACTCGGGCACAGCAGTGGCAATGACCTGGTCGACCAAAGAGCGGCGGTGGATGTTATTGACGTTAAGGACAAACGCCCAGATTTCAGGGTCAGCACGGTCCAAAAGGTATCGAGCTTGCGCTCGGTACATAGAGTTCTCGTTGGTGATATTAATAAGCTCAAGATCATTCTGACCCTTGCTATATGCAACATAGGCGAGGTTGGGATCGCGCTTCTCACAGTACTTTCCAACGGTAAGAGTATCGTAGAGATCGTTCTCCTTCAAAAACTTTTCTGGGTTGTTATTACTATCGATGTAAATCTTAGCGAGGGCATTGTAAACTGCCTGTTGCTGGTTGCCCATGGCAAGTGTATTCTCTAGGAATGGGAGAAGAATCTTAAGACGGTTTCGGGACTCAACCTCAGAAACAAGGTCATCGATGGGGATCGAGGCCGCGTCAACGCTAGCCAGAAGGTTTTTGATGACGCTCTCGTCGCAATCAACATCCAACAGACCGCCAACGACGGCTGGGGTTCTTGATGGATTCACCCGCTGAACGTAGACCTCGATGGACTTATATTGCTGGCTTTGGTAAAGATAGAGTACAAGGTCATGAATGAAGTTGAAACGGTCGCAGACGATGATTAAGGGCAACTGTTCCGTGAGGCGAGCTTCCTTCAAGAAATTCTTGACCTTCTCCGGGTTGTAGTAGTTGCTTTCCCGGCAGATACGCTCTACTTCAGTCAGCTGGTTCATCTTGGTCGCGGCCTCGATATATTTGAAATGAACATCAGGATCCTCGCTGAGATTTACAATACTGCCAAGGTAATAGTAAAGACCTTCAGCAGTTCGGTACTTCTCCAGGAGATTGATCAGGTTAGTTGGTCCCAGGAGATCCGAAAACTTCGTGGCAATCTGGACGACAGCTGACAGATTTTGACGAAGGTTAACCTTCAGCATTTCATTCATGCACTCCAAACACTGGTCAACTGATAGACGTCCGAAGTAGTTCATTAACCATTCAGGGTTCAATTTGTCAGTGCGGACGATATTTCTCATGATAATAGTAGGATCATCAGTATTCTCCAGCGCACGTTGGTAGAGTTGCGCATTTTCGCAAAGCTGCGATATCCTTCCCTTGTCATAGTGTGTAAACATCTCATTGCCAAGAATAGCGTCTGCCACCTGCGGAGCGTTGACAAGGTTCATCTCCAGCAATCTCGTTTGGAGATGGGCATGCTCAGGCTTGTTGTCTTTTAGGGCATCGAGAAGAAAAGCAGTGGCTTGCTGGATCATGTTCTGGGAGATGAACACGTCAACAACGCGATCCAAGTCAACAAGGGCACCATTTTCGTCGCTGGCAAGCTGTGCAGCGAACTCTGCACACTTCTCAGGGTTAACGCGCACGATATGTTGAAGAAGCTGGATGTAGTCTGGTTGGTAACCGGCTTGCTTCGAATAGGCCAAAATTTTGTCGAATTGACCGGTTTCGGCAAACCCAGCAACAACCTTATGTGGTACATTGGCCTTGAGGTAAATGTTCAGAGCAAGATTCATATCATGCGGGCGGACCATATCACCAAGCTCCTCTGAGCAACCAAGCTTGTTTTCGGCCATCCACTTCTCCAACAGATGCTTTCGACCTTGTTGCAGTACCGGTCTCACGAGTTCCACACTCTCATATTGATTCATCCCACCTTGATCAAGGAGCATTCCAAAGTATTGCAAGATAACAGACATGCCGGTTGAAGGCTGTGGAGCATTCTTGAGGATATTAATCGTTGCAGGGGTACGAAGGAACCCGCGGGGAGAATTGGCAGCGACTTTGGCAGCTTCTGTATACTGTCCCTGTGCTACCAACGTGTCAAATTGTCTCTTAAGGAGGTCGTCGGCGCCAGGAAGTCCCCCCTTCGAGGCGAGTCTCACAGCAAGCCCCGGATTGTTCAACTTTTCTAGGATGTACGGGATTATCTTATTTTCATCGACACTAACGGCAAGAACTTGTCCATGACGGTTGACACCCACGAGACCGGCCGAATCCGAATCGGGAACTGTGACGAATATCGGCTTAGAAGAAATTCTGCTCAGGAACAGACAGTTGCCGGTTTCCAGGTCGTAGAGATGAATGAATCCAAACTTGGTCACGATGTATGCAATATCATATCTTTTAGAAACCTGAATCGCAGTGGGGAAATCTAGTACGGCTTCCGGCGGAAAGAAGAGGTCCACAGCTTTCTTGGAAAATTTCTTGCTAGGATTCTGATTGTCAATTTCCACAATGTGTAATTTCGCACCAATCGCAGATCGAACGGCGAATGTGAAAATCTTTGTCTCCATTGGATTCCCTTCGACTCGAATGGTGCCGAAGGCAGCAGCCTGTCCTTCGATTACCTGAGAATTCTGGTGCGTACGGGAATATAGCTGAATCTTCCCAGTAATGGAATTGTCTTCTTTTCTTTGGATGGCAACAAGTGCCGACCAGTTCTGGTCCTCTGTTGTTCGGTAGTGGGTGATTTGCCATTTCTAGACGAACAAAGGGAAGATGGTGATCAGAATAACCAAGCACACTACATTTTGTAGAATAAAAAAATAAACTTACCTTGCTTTCATCGAATTCACCGTCTTTCTTAATTGGCTCCCTCAAAGTAGACGCTTCAATAGGCTGGCTCTTTTCCTCGAAGACGTCCCAGTGGTAGATGCGGTCTCCGGTCACTAGGGCAAGAGTTCGTTCACTAATCCATTTCCAGAACAGAATCTCACGCCTAAATATGACGTCCTTGATGACCTGTTCGTTCTGGAGGTTGATAACCCGAAGATTTCCAGTTGCCAGCCTGACGGCGATGACATGTTTATTCCAGTGCATAATGGCATTGTCGCCCGGGATCGAACGACGGTTGACTTCAGCTGGATTGTGGGGGTTAACAACGACGATTTGTTGTTGATTGCCGGTCTGTTGCCGTACACAGACGAAGTGATCGGACTCTAGGGTCTGTTTGTTTCCCGTGAGAAGTTAGATTTATCGGTTCCACGACGCAAACAGATGTTGGAGAGCAAGATGCAAGGAAGTGGGAAAAGCATTAAATTACTTACGCATGAATCAGAACCAATTGCATTCTCCTAGATAAAGAGCAAATGCATTATTAGTACACAATCCATTTGCAAATAGGTTGCCAATTCGGTTGCTATTTATGTGCAGTTCCAAATTGGCCCGTGGACGGAGATAAGGCAGAACAATAATAATATCAATCTTCCTGTGGCTGGCAAACATACCAAAACGCCGATGGATTGCAACTGCATTCATTTGGAAGCAAAGTCAGCCTTGAATAATTCATAGAACGGATTCTCGAGTCCCAGTGTCCCATGGAGCAGGGAAACGAAGATCTACATACCTGTAAAAGTTCCGTGAACTTGATGGGGATGTCTGTGGGATTGGCCATGATTGCGAAAAGGGCCGTAGGATGACGACCTCATACACACACACCCTAACAACAAAACGCCAGCGCCAGAAACAGAGGTCACACGGAATGGAAACAGAAAAGATGCGACCAGAGCCAAAAAAGGAGAGATGGAGATAAGGAGATAAGGAATTGCCGGTGGAGAGGGAGATGGCGTAATGCCCTGATCTAAGGTAGGTATGGCGGATTAGAGGACGTTGCTGATGGAGGTTTGTTGACGGAGAGCTGCGGTCGTTGAGTAAGTCTGGGAAATAACCAGGAGATGAAGTTTCAAGATGCTGTCGTGGCCTGGCGGCTGAGTCACGTGGCTGCCCCCATAGTTGGAAACAAACCCCCGGATATTTCCTTGTGCACTGTTAGCCTCTCATATTGATGATATATATGCACATCTACATTCTCTAAGACCGATTCCCATTTTCACTATCCCTTAAGGCAATGACTTTAATTCTTCATCATATCAAACCATGTATCCCCTAAAGAAATCGAAGAAAACATACACACACACACACACACAAAAAAAAAAAAAAACCCCCAAAACCCAAAACCCTGCAATCAGAGAAGATGGAAAATTAGCCCGTAGTAAGAATGCAAACACAGAAAACAGATAAAACATGAATGATCTCCATCTCTCTGTACGGAGTACGGCACTGTAGATACCTGTTCATCCTTCCCTCCAGCTTCCCGAGACAATGCAGGAAAAGGGAAAAGCCCAAAATAAAACTATCCATTTATTCGTCACCTTCGTCCGTCCCGTCTACCCATTTCACCCTGATCAAGGTAAATTTAAAATCTCAAACCTCATCAGAATTTGGTTGTACGCCGTAGCAATGCCAGGATTGAAAATCACATATATTAATATAAACATATTTCAAAATATCCCTATCAACTCCCGAGACACAAATATCAATACCTTTATACCGTTAGTGTCACAAAGCCGGAGATATGATATAGTACGGTACGAGCATAACATCTGCTAACCTCCGCTCCTCCCAATGCCAAGAACTTTCTGCTCCGTCCTTGGAAGTCAGCCAAAACCTCCCCCTTTTCATTCCGCCTCCACCCACGTATCGCTTTCTCACATCAGTTCCTCATACAAAGGTTGTAGAAAAAATTGTTGAAATTGTTGCCCTTTCCCATCTATCTATCTATACCCATAGCGTTGAACCGTCGTACTTTTTAACACATTGAAAATCCCTATCAGCTATTCCTGGTTATATATACCTAGGGTAGTAGGTTCCTAGGTAGGCAGAAGCTCTCCTCTCCTCCATTGACTTTGCGATCACCGCTATTTCTAATTCATGTATCTCCAATACACAAATAAATATGAAAAATGGAATCATAGGAAGGAAATAAACACCCGAGCCTCCCCAATCTCATCCGCCACCAACCAAATCAATGGTGAAACAACCTAATCCCCTGCTCCACAAACACAATTCCCAATTTCTCCGCCGTTTCAAACACAGGCACATCATTCTGACTCCCAGTAGGAGCAGCGATATACTTGGCACCCGAACGCGCAGCGCGGAACACATTATCCGTAAAGGGGAACTAAAAAAAAAAAAAAAAAAAGGGGTACTGCCGTTAGCAAATCAAATCAACCAAAACAGGGCATGGAATCCAATCATCAACCTACAAAAGCATCCGAAGAAACCGCCACCTCCCCCAACTGCGCCAACCACTTCTCCCTCTCCTCTGCCGTAAAAGGCGCCGGCACCCTCCCTTCCTCAAATACCTTCTCAAACTCTACCCTCTCCACCCCATCCCTCGGCACCTGCCCCGAACACAACAAATCAATCGCATTACTCTTCTCCGGCCTCTTCGTGTTAGCCTTCCATCTCAAATTCAGTGCTCGCTCATGAAATCGCATCCACCAATTATCAGCCTTATCCCCCGCCAACCGTGTGCAGTGGATCCGACTCTGCTGTCCAGCCCCCAACCCGATAACCTGCCCATTCAAAGCATAGCAAACAGAGTTGGACTGTGTGTATTTCAGCGCGATGGTGGCGACGGTGAGATCACGCTGGGCGCTTGCAGGGAGTTCTGTGATGGATTTCGGGGTTATTATTTTGTTGAAGGATTCGTGGGGTTTGATGAGGATGTCGTTGTGACGTTGGGAGAGCTGGATGCCGTAGACTGTGCGTGTTTCTTCGGTGGGCGGGTTGTAAGTTTCGTCCATTTGGAGGACGAGGTATTTTCCACCTTTTTTCTTGGAGAGGAGCGCGATGGCATCGGGACAGTAACCTGGCGCGATGACGCCGTCGGACACTTCGCGCGAGATGATTTTTGCAGTGGGCACATCGACAATATCTGATAGTGCGATCAAGTCGCCGAAGCTGGACATGCGGTCTGCACCTCTGGCACGGGCGTATGCCTGTGCGAGTCCCGACTCATCGATGCCAGCGATATCATCAACCATGTAGACTTTTTTCTCCTTCTCATTTAACGGGACGCCAATGGCGGCGCCAGCGGGAGAAACGTGCTTGAAGCTCGCTGCGGCTGGGTAGCCCAGGGCCTGCTTGAGCTCCTTAACGAGTGGCCAGGCATTCAGGGAGTCGAGAAGGTTGATGTACCCTGGCGCCCCACACAGGACTTTGAAGGGGAGTTTGGATTGCCTGGTAAATGCGCACGCGGGTTTCTGGTGTGGATTTGCGCCATAACGGAGGGGGATGTACTGCGTATCAGTAGCGTACTTCTTCCGGAAGAAGTCCGAGATCGCCTCGTCGTAGTCAGCTGTATGCTCAAAGGCCTTGAGAGCATATAGTTTCCTCTTTTTCTCAGAGACATCGCCCGCTTCAAGTTCCTGCAGAAATTCTGGGTAATCTTTGGGATCGCTGAGGATGGTGACCCGGCAGTGGTTCTTCGCCGCAGCGCGCAGCAGAGTAACGCCGCCAATATCTATCTCCTCGACGGCTTCTTCGATGGTGACATTAACCTGAGCCACTGTTTGTTTGAAAGGGTACAGGTTGCAAACGATGTAGTCAACCTTGGCGATCTTCTGGGCTGCCAGATCTTGTTCATCGGATTCGATGTTCCGCGCAAGAATTCCACCGTGCACGGCGGGGTGCAAGGTTTTGACGCGGCCACCCAACATTTCAGGCGCATGTGTGATCGCCGATACATCTCTAGGTTTGCAATGATTAGTTTCATGCTTTCAACATACGTGTGTGTGTATATATATATAGAAATTGATACACTCACTCAACAGGGAACCCAGCCTCCCTAATCAACTTCGCCGTTCCGCCAGACGCAAGCAACCGTACATTGTGCTTGACGAGGCCCTTGGCTAAGTCTAGCAGGCCAGTTTTATCGTAGACAGACAGAATCGCTGCAGATATCACCCGTGAATTAGTTACACAACGAATATAGAAGTGTATACAAAGCAGTTGAAGGTGGCAATGTGTCTAGATACGCACCTGACTTCTGCGCCATTTTCTCAAAAAAGTACCTGAGAGCAGGTCTGTCGAACTCTTTAGCGTTGAGGGATTTCTTCAGCGCCTGTGCTAGGGTCATGTCATCAGCCATCATTTCACTCTTTCCCCCCCTTTGCTTTGAAGATATTATAAGATTGAAAATTTGAATAAAAATTATCCTGATTGACGGAAGGAAAAGATAAGGAAAGATAGGTTGGAAAAGCATCAGAAACAACGGCAACGACAAACAGCTACAACATCCCCCCGGCCGTCGCTGAATAAATGAATGCGGTGGGGTATGTCTCTGACAACAAACCCTCATCCAACCCTCAAGTCGAGGAAACGATCAAACAATGGTTTGCAGCGGTGTAGGAAAGAGGGGCAGTTGAGCATCGATGGAACCGGGTACAGTTTTTTTAACTCACCAGGAAAGGGAATCGATGAACTGAATATCTTAGGTACTCTTCTATCAACAGTGTAAGGTAACTTCAATGTCCAATTGCAATATCAGAGGCGTCTTCGAAAATAGAAATCCATTCAGCAATATCCTTTTTCTCTTCCTTTTCTTGGGAGTGCAGCGTTTGTTTCTGCTCCTTAAAAGAGCTTGTCCCTTTTTCCTATCCCACTTAGTTTATTTTCTTCCCAGGGCCGCAATCTTACGTAATTATCTCCCCTCTTCACATCCAAACCAAACAAACAAGCCAAACAAAGCAAAGTCACAGATAACTACACTGTCACATGACCTCCACCTCCTTTGTGTGCAAAAGAAAATTTACCTGCTTCTTTTTCCCTTCTCTTTATTTATTTCCCCTTTTCTTTCACATGAACAACGCAATTAAAAAAACCAACATTCTACATAAAAGCGTTCCTACAAAGGCTTCTCTGAATGCCCATGAGGTATGGAAATCGTCTATTAGAATGGAGAATGATGCCCTTTTCTTTTCTTTTCTTTTTTTTTTTTTTTTAAAAAGAAAAAGAAGGATGGCGTCGGTCTTGGGTGCAGTGTTACTCGGCCCTCTTTTTCGTTTTTCGGAAGAGGTTTGTGGGTGGGATTGCAATGACCGGCGGGACATGACTATTCCGACTGTTTGACTAGGAATTGTTTGTTGGGAATGAGGGGCGGGAAGGCGGATGGATTGGAATGGCGCTGGCTGTCCTTGGTTATGTATCGGGCTGTGTTGAGGATAAATCATTTATGGTTTGGCAGACTGGCCGGGTCGAGGTCAAACGGCTCCCGATACAAATCTATGGGCATAGAGATATCGTTGAATAGAACTTCCAGAGGGCAAATCGGTTAAATATTACATTCATCCCCCAGAATCGAGGTCGAACTTCTAATATATATAAGTATGTCCCGCCTCCATTCCCGAAAAGCATATTCCCTGCCATTAAAAAATAGTTGAATCCGTGTAATAACCCATTCTCCCATCCACATTACTCAAGTAACAAGCCCCCAATATGAACGACCTTCTCATACCTTCCATCTCTCCATCCGAAGCGAACAATGATACTGTAGATATATGGTATGCAAACAAATAAACATTACTTCCACGTCTTGCATTACCACTCAACCCCCCCAACCAACCGCCAACCTCCTTCCAATATTCCCAAAACAAACACAGCTGCAGAACAGAACACTGGCAATCCACGTACCCACGGCAATACTCTCTTGTGACGCAACTTGCATCCCACTAGCTCCAACCGGAACACCTGGCGCTGGCACAACATCGGAATTAATCCCCAACAATGCCACCATGCCTACTAATCCCACAGCGGTGGAGAGCATGAAGCCTGGCTTTGAGCGGTCGATGAGGTACCAGAGGAACGGGTTGACGAGGGCGAGGGTTAGGGAGACTTGGAGGGTTGATTGCCAGGGGAGTTTGCGCTGTTCTTGTTAGCTAGAGTAGAGGTTGTAGAGGGTTGTAGAAGGGGGAAGAAGTGAATAGGGTATATATAGGAATGGAATGGAATGGAACGGAACGAAGAACTTACAATGGCAAACGCAATCCCCACAAACGCACCAGTACTCCTCACAACAGAATTCCAATCAGCCACCTTCAGCTGCTTATCATCATCCCCTTGTGCATTCAAGTTGCCATTGTCACTTTCCTTCAGAATCCCACCCCCGCACTCACCCCCGACAAACTCCTCCCAAACCCCATCAAACCACGGCAACAACCCGCCCAACGCAACCCCCGCCAACCCCCAGAACACCATATAAACCCACGACCCATGGTCGGTGATATTCTCCATCCGCATAGGCGTTAGACGATGGTTATCATGCAAATGCATAATGAGCGTCCCATACGCGACGCCGAAGGCGAAGAGGAGGACGGCGCGGAGTAGGAGGGGTAGGTAAAGTGATCGAAAGCCATGGCGTCGGGGGACATGCAGCGCAGGTCGTTGGTGGGCATGAGACGAGGAAGTGCGGGAATGAGTGCCAGTAATGCCGTTAGTTCCATTCCCGAGCTTCGAGGAGGTTGCGGCGGCGGATGAGGCGGCCGGGCTGCGTGGGGAGCTTGGCGTCTGCGCACCTGTGCCCCATGGCGTGGCGGAGGTGGCTGAGAGGGATATGTCGTCACGGAGGGGGCCGTCGGAGAATGCCGTGGGGGAGTAGATTCCTAGGAGGGTCGAGGAGGTGAGGTTTAGGATTGAGTGGGTGCGGCTGGGGGCGGTGAGCAAGTCTTTGGAGGAGGTTTCAGGGTTGTCGAGGGTGGGGTTGTTTGAGTATGAAGGTTGGATGCATTCTTCTGTAATCGGAGTAGCGGGTTCAGAGGACTCGGAGGTGGGTAGTTCGAAAGGTTTCCGGGTACGGGAGCGTAGGGGACGAGGTTCGGGGTCCATTTCTTTTGTTTTTGGTCTTGGAGGTTAGGATATTGGGTTCAGTTGGGTTGGGTTTTTTTCGGGTTCTTGGGGTGTGGAAATTCACATATAGAGCACATGGGACACGAGGATTTAAGCTGCACAGCGGCTTTGGTGGTGGTTGGGGGGGGGGGGGGGGGGGGGAAGAGGGTTTGAGTTAAGATAAGAGAGAGCCTGTGGAATAAGATGCGAGCAGCCACCAGCTAGAGAGCACTGGGCAGTTATCGCGTGGGATAAGCAATTCAGAAGCAGGACTGGCGGCTGTTGAGAGGGTCAGCCAGAGGAGATGGGCTGTTCTGCAGCCGCTGGATACCTCCACAAGAAAGGCTGTAGCAAGGTGGATGCTATGATTTGTTGATGTTGTTGTTGCTGTTGTGCAATTCAAGGCCGAGTTACGTCCTTTTTTTTTTATTTCTGTTGATTACTTTGGCTTGTCACATGCCGAAGAACAGGCAAGACTCCGGCTTAGTCATCTTCCTGACCAGCTGCGATGCAGGCAGACGCTGTGATATCTCTTCATGTGGTTGGTGTGATGTCGATTTCCAAGCAATTGCCCCCGTACCCGTTCTGGTCCCCCCACTTTCATGGCGGTTTATAGGATGGCACGGATGCAGAAACTGTGAGAGGATAGTCACCGTGGAGAGATCTTCTACCCCCGTATCAGGAGTGTGGGGAATGCGGACTGGACCCGTGTTTTCGAGGATTTTTGCACACGTAAAACCCGCGCTATTTGGGTTAAAGAATCTTGGATTGGATTGGACCTGGGAACTGGAATTTTCGAATTCGAATTCTTAAATCAAAACTCCGATTGTTAATTGCAGAGTAATTATAACATTGAATTTTCCCATAGCTTTATTGGCTATCATTATTGTTAACTTGTATTTTGCTTGCTTTTGGTTGGAGAAGAGAAAAATAGGAGATATTATAAGGACAGGTAAGATGGGGAAAAACGAACAAAAATTGAAGGGGGGTGGAATACAAGAAGAGAAGCGCTGAGAACCATGTCAACCGAAATCTAAATCAATCAATTAATATCAACGTAGATATAACAAAACATAAACAAGGTGGAAGAACAGAGGAATACGTAAGTAGGACCCGCTTATCCTTTCAACTTCTTTTAAGAAACAAAGGAAAAAGGTTGGGGGAGGACAGACAGATAAAAACCTCAAGAGAGAAAAAAGAAAAGAAAATGAAAAGGAAGCATAGTCCCTAACTTGTTGGAAAACACAAAGACACAAAATTACAACAGGAGAGAAAATATATATATATATAAAAGAGATTTAGTTACCATTGACCAAATCAATCAGCCGTAATCTGATCCTCAATCGCCCTCCCCTTCCCCCTCCCCCTCCATCTCCGAACTCTCCCCCTCCACATCATCAACAGATCCTCCCTCCTCCTCCTCCTCCTCCTCCTCCTCCTCCTCCTCCTCCTCCTCCTCTTCTCCTTCCTCCTCGCCCTCCTCCTCTTCATCAACCTCCTCCACCAAATCCATCTCATCTCCTTGTCCTAGAAAGCTAGACCCCTCAACATCACTATCACGACACGAATCCATCATGACAGCGCTGGAATAGCGTGGCTTGGGAGGCAGGGACTCCTCGCCCGCTACAACCGATGACGGCGGCGGGAGCGGTGGTGCTGGTGCTGGTGCATCGCAGTGTAATATCTTCTGATGGTGTTGGTGGAGAGGATGATGCGAGCGTGAGCGAGAGGCCGAAGGTGAGGATTGGCTGATGGTGTCAGAGTCCGGTTCCGTATCTAGATCCATTGTCGTGTGGTGTGCGTGTTCATCGGGTTCGGGTTCAGCGTCAGCTTCCGGGGTAGAAGCACGAGCCCGCTGACAATTACGATCATTATCACTATCGTCATCATCTTGATCACGCCGTTTCCGTTTCCGCTGGCGGCGTGGTGCCTGCACCGGCACCTGCGCCTGCGTTTCCTCCCCGCTCGCCTCGCCCAACAATTCCTTATCAATGTCATCTAGCGCACCATCTCCCTCGCCGCTAACATGACTGGCATCATCAGTGCCAGTCGGCACAGCTAACTGCTCAGAAGCAGAGGCAGCGACAGCAACGTCACCATCACCACCCTTCTCACCCTTCACCGCTTCTGTCGCAGTTGCATCAGCCTCACCATCCCCAGCAGCTGCACTACTACCAGCACCACCGGTGGATGCAGCACCCGCACGCCCCTTCCCAGTCGATGCCCGCGGCTTCCTCGCTCCCCCAGACCCACTCTGCCGGCTCCGAGTACTAGTTCCCGGCCGTGGGCGCGGTTTCTTCTCCGGTTCCCCCGTCACTGCACCCGCAACTTCGTCAACAGGTTCTGCAGCCTTTGGCTTCCGCTTTGAGCGGGCTTTGGGTTTGGTAGAGGGACGGGAGGGTGTGACGACGACATCGCCACCAGCCCGATGAGGTTCATGCGTCCCATTGACAAACATGATGGTATCATTCCCCTCCTCCCCGTCCCCACCAGCAGCAGCAGCCTCAGCAGCAACCCTCTCCTCCTCCGCAAACCGCTCCCTCTCCCTGTCTCTCTCCCTTTCTCTTTCCTCTTTCCTCCTCCGATCCTCAACCACACACTCCCAATCCCACCTCCTCAACCTCCTCCCCGCCCTCTTCACAACAGCCATATAAAACCCCGCCGCCTCCCCATAATCCTCCTCATCTGCCGGATGTGGACATATCCCCCCCCTTCCCCACGAGTTCTCCTCGTCCTCCGTATCATAGTCCTCCGGCAAACTCGCCAGTAATCTCCCCACACGCACGAAGGGGATCTCATTCTCCCTTCGTTGCCGGAGTTCCTTGAGCGCCTCCGTCCGCCGCTGGTCGAGAAGGTAATCCACGCGTTGTTTCCGGTTCTGCTCGACGGCGAGTTGGTGCTGGGTCAGTGGGCGGGGACGGCGGCTACTGCCACCTCCGCCGCCGGTGGCGTGTGCGCTTTGTTGTGGTTGTAGAAGGTGCGCAGTGCGAGAGCTCGAGCTGGCACTGGCGCCTGTGCTAAATTGGTTGAAGACTGGATGGGCGGAACCTGGGGGCGCAGGGGAGGCGGTATCTGGTGTCTGATCCATGCGTGTCTTTAGCACGAGTCGGCGTGGTTGGGATGTTCGGACTGATGAGCGGTTTGTGGAGGATTCACGTTTTGTGCGGCGACCAGGGCGCCAGCGTGCAGAGAGGTCTATGTCGTCGTCTGGGTTGTAATCTGCAGCGGAGCGGCCGATCATGCTTTGGCGTTCTCCAGTTCCTAGCTCAGAGGCTAAGTCGTCGCTTCCGTAATCGACTGCGGCGACTGGAGCGTTGAGAATTAGCATAATGTCAAGGATGACAAGAAGGTTAGAATATCGAAGCTCATAGCTCACCTTTCTTGGGTCTCTTGCCTGACCTGAAACTAGTCTCCTCTTCTTCCAGAATCCCTATGAAACAGAAAATTCAGCTCAGTCCTAAATGGCACAAAACATTAACTTGAATAGAAATTGGGAAAGAGAAACCCACTCTTTCTCTCTCGCTGTTTCTCTTCCCCATACTGGATCTCCTCTGCAGTGTCCACATTCTCTGCATCCGCCTCAGTCTCCGTCAGCGGCTCAAACGCCGGTACCTTAATGGGCAACCCATCCGTTCCTTCACCCACCAAACCCGGCCCGAACGGATTATTCAACGCGTCCTGCGCCGAAAAGTCGCTCTCGAGATAATACCACATCAGCCAGAGGAAGGCCCTGGCACGACTTTTGCTGCTCAAACTGGAGCGCATGACTAGGTCAAAGAAGTCACGGGGAGGGAAGAAGTGGAGTTCGGAGATGCGGGGGGCATATTGGGATAGAACGAAGATAAGGTTTACGGGGTTCGTGCGGGGAATGGGGGACTTTTTTATTTTTTCGATGGTGTTGGGTTGATCTGTATCTTCAGAAGCACCTTTAAGAATAGATTTTAGGCGAGGGGCGTCTTGGAGCTGCTTGTAGGCGTTTGGGTCCTGGTGGGCTTGGAGGGAGGGGATGGAGTGGTAAGTCCGTAGCTGGGCACGCATTTCTGGGAAGACTTTTTGGTAACATTCAACAGTGAGTAATGTGAAATGCGATCGTCGTTATTATATGGAATGGGGTCATCCTCACAATTAAGAGTGGTATTCATCCTCCCAAAATTAACCAGCAAACACACCATGGCCATACTAATTGCAGCTGCCTTATCGTTCTGCAACTTATCCTTCAAAATCTTGCTGGTCTTGCTGCTCTTCGCCATGGCATCGATGTAGATATCTGCAAAATCCAACCCCTTCGCACCATCTGACAAGCGCGTAAACACGGGCGTCTTATCCTCAAAGACCAGCTTCAGAAACTCGTACTGGATATCCTTCCGCCATAGCGGGATGCCATCTTCCTTCTTCAGATGGCGAATCTTGTTGCCCGAGTACACGGAGCCGATGGTACCATTTGCCTGTCGCCGTGTCCCTACCGTTGCACTGACAGTTGACGAGTGGAAGCTGGTACTGTTATTACCATTATTATCTCCAGCTGATGGATCTGGGTCATCGAACAAGCGGCGGGACTGTGGTTGTGACTGTGACTGTGACTGTGATTGTGACTGTGACTGTGACTGCGATTGCGATTGCGATTGCGATTGCGACTGCGACTGCGAGACACCGTCTTGGGATCGTTTGACATCTTCTTTATCATCACCTTTACCTCCTTCATTTCCTCCTGTTTCGCTATCGCCATCACCATCGCCATCACCATCACCATTGCCATTCCCTCCCCTATCTGGTGGCGGGGAAGATTTGGGCGGCCAGTCCTCCCAGGACCCGGACTCGGTCCAGAAACCCTGGACGGGATGATCGGGGTCGTCGAGGTAGCTGCGCTGGCGGCCTCCCTTTGTGCCCGGCTCTGGTTCCAGCAGACGTTTCACACTTTGTCGAGGGAGCGGGTAGCGGTTTGCGGGTAAGGGAAAGTCCTTGCGGGATCCCGCAAAGTAACCGCCATCAGGGGCGTCGAGGTGGTCCTCGTTTTCGGGCTCGAAGGCGCCGGAGGGCTCGTTGGGGGCTGAGGAGGGGGTAGCAGCCATGGCTTTGTCGGGGTCATTGGGGTTTGAGGAGGATTGGTCTTGCGTTCGTTGCGTTTGTTGCGTTTGTTGGGTGGTGGTGGTGGTGGTGGAGGCGGTAGAAGGGTCAGGTCGAGGGGAGATATTGCCGGAGACGGAGATTACGGTACTCGCCATTTGCTTGGGGGTAAATAGATCTAGATGTGGAGTTGTTGGGGCATTTTAAGAGATAAATGGGATGAGATGATGAAGGTGTAGAGTGTAAAGTTCCAAGATTCCGAAGTCGAACGGTTGAAGTTGAAGTCAATTCGTTCATTTTGCGAAGTGGTAACTTAAGAGAATGGCAGGTCGGGAGTTATTTAATGCGGTGACAGCCACAACTCGACGCACTATACTTCATAAAATTATGTTAACACTTTTCAACTTTCACTTTTAATCTTGTTAGTAAAGAACAGAGTCTAGATATATTTACAATTCAAATTCAAATTCCCCTGCCACCGGTGAATGAAAGGATAATTATGTGAAAGATGTTGCCTTATTTTCTTTGATTTTCCCCGATTTTATCTCAGCTCGGGGCCATTTCCAACAGTACCTAGGTGTTTAAATACCGCATCTTTTGAGGCTCACTCCAAGATACAAAATATCTAACTACAAATCACACTCAAAATAAAATAAAAATTATTCCCCATATGTAAGTAAAAAGGGACTTTATTTTCCAACGCAAGGCATAATATGAGATGCATAGTCATGAAAAGAAGGCAAAGAGGATTCTCTGAGAAAATGTGCCATGATTTTCGATTTGATCATTTATTTTTAGCAACATACAAAAGGCAAAGAAACAGAGAAAGTGGAGAAATCACCAAAAATACTACGAAGAACCTCTCATAAATGAAATTCAAAAAGGAAGAATGTTTAAGAGAAGAAAAGAGAGATCTACTCTTTTCTTTGTTTTTAGTCATAACTACAGCTTTAGGTTATTCAGAAACACAGCATGAAGAAATTGATACAGTTATATAGTGTTTTTCTCCCTTTTCACACGCCTTATCTCAACTCCGTTTTTCCAATCAAAAACAAATTGGATTGAATTGAATCGAATTGAAAATAAATATTGATACAGAGAATTTCATTTTTTCCCTGTGTCTTCACAGCTGACCCGACACGACACGGCATTTTCACACGACCTGAAAAACTAAAAAGAAAAAAAAATATATCAAAAACACAGCTTCTTTTCTTTTCATTAACACATGCGAGCTAGGAACATGGGGGGTTAAGATTGATTCAAGCTAATAAGAGGTTCTGGGGCAAAGGGGACTATTATAAAACAACTTGGTGTGAGTAAGGGGGAAATGCTGTATTTTCTTTCTGCGCTGCAAAAGTTATCTTTTTTTCCTTCCTCGTCTAACAGTCCATTCTATCCCTCAACAGAAAGATGGAGGGGGAGGGGGACTCAACGACGAGAGAAAGGAAAGAAAGAAAAACGCCTTATAAAAGAAAAAGGAGGTGGGGTATCTTGATAGATAGATAGAAAAAGCGGGGGATCTCTTTTCGCAGAAAGGAAAATAAGCTGAGTTAATGACGAGGGAAGAAAGAAGAGAGAATAAGTTTCAACGCTGTCTATGATGAATGTTTTTTCTTTCATGATGCAAAAACACGAGAAAAAGAACACGAGAATAACAAAGTATTTCCATGACCGATCCGACCGATAATAGGAAAGATGAAAAAGGGCGGAGGATATATTTTTCCCCTGTTTTTCCTTTTTTTCCTCTCCTTCTTTCTTTCAAGAGCAGAAAAGCGCCGCCACCAAGTTTAAAACCGCAGTTGGGTTATTTCCCCCCATTTTTTGTATCATGCAAACGTTAGGCAAAAAGCAAACGCAGTAAAGGAAAATAAGCAATTGCATCAGAAGAGAAGACAGCATCAAATGGCGTATCGGAATACAAAAGAAACGACGGAAAGAACATAGAGCACGAGGCAAGAAACTGGAAGTAGTTCAACGCAAACGAGATGAAAAACAAACACTGAAAAGAAAAATAAAAAAAATTAAGGGAGGAAATTCGTCGCAAGTCATGATGAAAAATCAAAATCCCAGTGCCCGAGTTTTAAAAGTAACATCAAATCAAACATATTAGTAAAAAGGGAAAATATAAAAACACTCGGGTAATGGTTGTTGGGAAGAAAAGAAATTTAGGTAACCGTTTTGAGTCGAATCGAACTGAGTCAGGTCAAACCAAACCAACCCAAAACTCCCCTTCCCTTATTTTTTCATGGCCGACGTCAAAGAACCAGTCGGAGAACCAGTCCTCAATATTCAATCCCCGTGACAATAGGACACCAACGGAATGCGCAGCAAAACCAATAATCTCCCTTCTTTACCACCACGAACTTGGTCCAGTAGGCCCGCTCGGGTTGCCATACCCTCCACTGCCATATCCACCACCGTAGCCACCACCATAACCGCCAGGGCCGCCGCCATAGCCGGCGCCACCATCACCGTACCCGCCATACTGAGGTCGATCACCACCCATCCCGCCGCCGCTGCCGCCATAGCCACCACCACGACGAACATCACGCGTAGAAGAGCCACGGCCTCGTCCACCACCACGTCCACCGCCTCGTCCACTACTGGAGCCATAATAGCTTCCCTGCCGTCCAAGCTTTTCCAAGAAATCTGGAACTTCCTGGTTAGCATCCTTAAGCAGATCAACCATGCTGCGAGCGATTTTGAAATTCTTGCTCCGGCTGAAGAACGCCGTGGACAGTCCAGTGTTGCCAGCACGACCCGTCCGGCCGATACGGTGGACATAGTCGTCTATTTCGTTGGGGAGGTCGTAGTTTATAACGTGGGTTACGTTGGGGATGTCAAGACCACGGGCTGCGACAGCTGTTGCGACAAGGATGGGACAGCGGCCTGTGCGGAAGAGTTCGAGAGCTCGTTCACGCTCGCGCTGTGTCCGGTCGCCGTGGATGGCTGTTGCGGGCAAGCGGTGATCGAGGAGGAAATCAGATAACATGTCTGCTTGGCGTTTGGTCTCGACGAAGACAAGGGTTAGGCCAGTTGAGTCGCTGCAGAGGATGTCGAGAAGGGCGGAGTCCTTGTCCTTATCCGAGTCGCATTCTATGACGCGTTGGGTGATGTTTTCCGATGTGGATCCCACGCGACCCACAGAGAGGAAGATGTGGTCCTTCAGGAACTCTTCTGCTAGTTTTTGGATGTCTGGAGGGAAGGTGGCGGAGAACATGAGGGTTTGACGGAAGTGCTTATCAGGCATGTCGGATCCCTGGACAATGCGGCGGATTTGAGGTTCGAAACCCATGTCTAACATACGATCAGCCTCATCAAGGACCAGGTATTGAATATGGGAGAGCGAGATGCGACCACGTTCCATCATGTCGACAAGCCGGCCAGGTGTGGCAACGAGGACATTGCAGCCCTGGTCAAGCTGACGGAGTTGGTTGCCCATCTCAGCACCTCCGTAGACGACACGAGGGTGCAGGGCTGTGCGGTAGCAGAATTTGCGGGCCTCATCGTAGATTTGAGAGACGAGCTCACGAGTGGGTCCCAGGATCAAAGCGGTAGGATATGCCTTGCTCTGACGGCCAAGTCCTCGAGGGGCGTCTCCTTCAGGACCCCGTTTCTCGAGACTCTTGGAAAGGATTGGGAACAGGAAACCGCCGGTCTTTCCAGAGCCTGTCTGAGCGCATGCCATCAGGTCACGACCACCCATAACGATGGGAATAGAGTACTTCTGGACCGGGGTGGGAACTGTGTAGCGGGAAAGTATGATATTGGAAAGCAGGTGCTCATGCAGAGGGGGGTTGGTGAAGGCGGTGATGCATTCCGGGACGTCATGACCACTAGCTTCGACAGGGATATTCTCGTAGTTGGCAAAGTTGATACCAGTATGTTGCTTAGTGGGGTCGTCGGCTTCTCCGAAGAGTTCGAGCTCTAGACGTTTGTTCTCTGGGCCCTGAACGTGGCTTCCGCGTTCATCCCAGTATCCATGTCCACCGGCGCCGCGTGGACCTCTTGAGTACCCCGAAGATCCTCTATACGAGTTGGCGCCACCGCCAGGTTTTCCGTACTCATTTGGGTTGAACTGGCGGGGAGCGCCATTACCCCAGGTAGCACTGCCGTTCATAGCTGGAGCTGGTCCGGGTGGACGATCGCGGGGAGTGAAGTTTGGAGCATTAGCCCAGTTAGGACCAGCATTATGATGGGGTCTGTAATAAGTACAGATTTAACAGGTTAGTTATACGTTTTGCAATACGTTTGTTAACTTTTCAACCTGATATAACGCGTGTAGAAAAAAAAATAAAACAAGGCATCTCGCGTGTAGATCAAATTAAAAAAGAGATCAAAATACATACCCAGCGTTATTTGGAGCCCAAGCACTCGCGTTCAAGCCCTGGCTACCTTGAGGGCCGTTTCCGTCGATGCCCACAGGAGGAGCGGCACCGCGACCACGGAGATGGGGAGGGATATAAGCAGATCGACCGGTCGGGTTCGGGACCGCAGAATGCTGAGAATCGTCAATCTTGAGAGAACCCATGTTCAAGCCGTTTGCCATCTTGGATTTTCGTTGATGTTGTTTGTGTGTTGGCGGGCGTTTGAAATTTGACGTTCTGAAAAGGAGTCCAGAAAGAGTCAGTGGCGACTTCGTCCGGGATGTCTGGGATAACAACACTTACCAGGAAAGTAAATTAGTCGCGGTTTGTAAGCACGGAGAAACTGTTCACTAGCTAGTTTTAATGATGTAAATCACGAAAAACACGCTGGATCTCGAAGTGACAAAAAGGGTTCCAGATAAAAAGGAGGGTCGAGATTAAAGCGTGCGGCTGTTTTCTTTCTTCAAGAGTCCAAAGGAGAGAATGTAGAAGAGGCCGTGGGATTAAATGTTGCAGAGAGGAGGTATTTTAATCGTCGAAGTCTCTCATACACACGATAGATCGGAAGAAAAATAAGATATTAAGATCTGAAGAGAAGAACAGTCGAATTACTAAAGGGTAGTAAAAGGGAAAAATCTCTCAGATCTAAGTCTATGGGTGTTAAGATTCAAGCAGAAGGTTGATGTGGTGATAGGCTGCAGGATGTCGTTGTTATTGTAGGATACAGAAACACAAAGAAACGGGAAAATAGGAAGCGAGAAGAAAGGGGAGGAGAATGCGAAATATATGAGGATGAGATGAGAGGATAGTTGACGAAAGAGAGGATGTTTGTTGAAGAGTTTTTCAGAACTCGACGAGAGGGAAAAAATAGAAGAAGAGAAGAAAAAACAGTTGAAGTTGGCGGCAGCTGGAAATTTTTTTTTCTCTTTCTTTTTTTTTTCCCTTTTCCTTTTTTTGTGTTGGCTCAAAGGCAAAAAGATCTGAGGAATCAGCCGCGCTAGGCCCGTTACGGCAACCCCATTTTCGCCTCCCCAGCAAAAGCGCCCGGAAAAGACAACGCAGGTCACTCGCCACGCATTTTATAGGGCGCATGTACATGTGGGTACATGTTGTGCCGCAGTCATCATAGCCCAAAGCATAAAAAAGGGGTAAAACCCGGGAAACCCTATTCTGCTGGACTGCATCAATTTTCTCTTTCAATCTTTCCTTATAGTTCGCCAATCTGCAGCGTTAACTCCCCCTCGGGAAGCTGACCCAGGGTATTTGAGGGCCAGTAAGTTAATTATCAGTTTTTATTTTATACGGCTGAGAGGGTTAATGGTTTCCTTTTGACTTCCTGTGCGGAGCCATATTTATTAAATCAATAATGGGGCATGCTACCACTGCCCACTTCCACAGTCTCTTCCAGTGCATAGTCATATCTACCCATATCTTCGTGTCATCTCGGATCGGGCGTACAGTTGAAAGTGGGATTAGAAAGTTGAAAAACAATGGTTTTGAAATTCAGCCGGAAAAAAAAACCTTCAGCATGGTTTAAGTATTCAGACCATGAACAAACAGCCCTCTCATTAAAACTACATACACCAGTCATTCCTCACACTATCCCACACACATCTTCTATATGTCTCAGGCCCTTACTCTTAACCAACTTTAACTAATCCTAACCCCTAACCTTGGTGTTGAGGGCGGTTGAGGTTGAATATAGATGTATGAGTAATAGAGTTGATCATGTTTTTAATGTTAGTGGGCCACCATGTTCAATGTTGTTAAAACCACATTCAACTGTAACCTCACAGATCCCCATATTCACCTGGCAGACTGCAGAATCATTAGTTGGTGGTCTAGCTGCTCAATCACCACTACTACCTACCTGGGAGGAGCCCCACATGCTCAATGTCATGAGAAGTTTGCACGGTACAACCCTTTTTTCTCACTCGCCACACTCTCGCCGTCTCACTATCTACCTACCTACTCACATACCTCAAGATAAGGTAGCCGTTCCCGGCGCGCTACGGGGAGTCCTGGTTTGACTTTTGGCTCCGGAAGAGTTTCATCAACGTTTTGACCCCATGCTCTCCCTCTATCAGGGCAGAGCGTGTTTCCTCAGTTCCCCTGGTAAACGGAATGGGTTCAGAGAGAATATCTGACATACTCATTGCCTCTGACTCCATCCTCTATGGACCTATGGCCATTCTCCAGCCAAAGGAGACGTAAAGTTACTGTTTCTCTGAATGGTTCAACCATCCGAATGTTTCCGGTTCAGGAACATCCAAGGAATAATCGGAAAGACTGGAGTTAGATGATGAAATGGAGGTATATACTAGCGGTGGGTTGGATGGCGTAGTGGTAAGCGTCATCTATAGAAGGCCTTGCAGATCCCACCCACCTTCATCAAAATGATATTCATCACACAAGAAGGGTGACTGGTCAATAGAATGGGTTCATAATTAAGAGGTGGATGCTAGCTATATTAGCTCTAACTACGGTGCACTAGCTCTAAGGTAGTGATGGCTGTTGGTTATTCTAGAACTTCAGCTGTAAGCGATAGAGAGAAAGCATGGGATGGAATATAACCCCTTGCATAACCAAACGAAATATAGAAATATATTTTGAAGGTTAATTATGCAAACACGCCGCGTTCTTCGGGTTGATTTTACAACATGGAGTTAAACTCTTTGTTCCCTACTGTACGTACACCGAATCGACTGCGGCTGCACTGAAGCGAGGTGAGATGGGTGTAGACTTGCAAATCGTGACCGTCCGTAACTTGAATTTTCTTAACAGATAGTTGATGGTTAGATGGTAGGCAATATCCTGCGTATTGTATGGAGATATAAAGAGACATTTAAATCGTTCCTGATGTGATATATTTCTTTCCCCTTGGCGTTCTCTCTCAAATTCATTCAATGAACTGATATTCCAATCAAACAGTCATGGTAACAAACTGATCACTCAGTGCTAATCATGCCAGAGTCCATAAAACCATTAGCTCAAGATAATCAAAAATGTCAAAGAGAGTTTAAATCCACTCGTGACAAGAAAGGGGGAAAATATATGTGACCGAACATCGACCCATTTAAGGCCTCACCCCCTATTCCACAGCATTAAACTCCGAAACAACCTCATCAACAACCTTCTGCAACCCAATCCCTTCAATCCACAATAACACATTCTCCAAAATCCCCTCGCCTCAAAATAATTCTCAGATTGGACATCCAAAAGGTTCCCCACAATCAGCACACCCACCAGGCTAAAATCCCCCTTTGCAACATTTTCAAACCCTTTCTTCGTCAGCTCATCGAAGTCAACATTCTTGCCCGTCCATGTTGAACCAATCTCCTTTTCAAGGGCAGCGAGTAACGTTGAGGGAGTCACAGCAGCATCGGCGATGGGGAGGACTTTGTTGGCTGTCTTGTCGGCAATAGAGCGGGAGAGGGATTGGACGACGGCTTTGGCGATGAGGGGTAAGCGGGTGCCTGTGAAGGTTGCATCTTTGTATTTTTCGTCCCAGAGAGTGGCGGTTTTGCTGGCGAGGTCTTAGCCGAGAAAGCCGGATTTGATGCATCTAAGCGGTGGTGTGATACGAGTTACAATAAATTTTTCGTTTTCCACTGGCAGTTTATCATGCCCTCCTATTTTCGTTGTTTGTTGTTGTTGTTGGGGGGGGGGGGGAAGTGGGTTTGAAAAGATGGTAAAAGGGGAGATACAGGAATCTGCCTTCAAGGTTGCTTCTACCGTCACGATGACAGCCATGTACGGTACAGAACACTACTTACTCGTCCAAAAAAGGCCCTGTGAAGAGACTAGTCCATTCAATCAATCTGGCCCTCTTTCTCATTTAGATATTCTTGAATCTGATGTTTCGCAGCAAAGAACGGCACGCTTGCATGCGAGTGCTTATTTCTTGTATCGCTACCATGATCACTCGCAATGAATCTCCTGACACCCACCTTGATTGCAGCGTCGATTACCTTGATCTGCAGAGGGATAGTTCCACTTGCGGCGGCTGATACCACTGCGTCTTGTCCCTTAAGTGCCTTGACGAGGGACTCATTTGAGTAGACGCTTCTGAGGTGAGTGACGCCGGCTGGTGGAGTGTAGCTGGACTCCTCTCGTGTGAGAGCTGAGACGGAATACCCATATGGGGACTCGAGGAGGGCAGCAACTACAGCCTTCTTATGTAGAGGGGGAAAGTGTTAGGTAGAGTGATAAGAAGCTGGCTTGCATCATTAAGAGAAGGCTCCGACGTACCCTACGAGTCCGCTTGCCTATTTTCCATTTTGTTAGTCTATGTATATGTTGTAAATGAAAGTGTACGTACTGGCACCACAATAACGTTCTTGATAGTGCTGGACATTTTGGACAATTGAAATATCTGAGTGCGGAGGGAAATGGTCTGCGCAAGACGATTGGGATTTGCAAATTCCAAAGGATGTGAAATTCAATCAGCTGATATCACTTTTGACAAAAGAGACCAATTGTTGTTATATCCAATATATAACTTGTATTTTGATTACTTCTGGGTATCGAAAATGATCCTTCATCAGGAGAGTGCGGAGTATTTGTACCCCAACTCATCCCCCTGTCCTCATCTTATATGCAATCACATCCATGCTAAGTGGAATCACGCCTCTTATGGCAGCTCCGACTTATTGTGACCCACACCAACTGTCTTGTGGAGATCTAACAGGGGCAGTTGGCTTCCAAGCAAAGAGGGTGCATTCCGCGCAAAATCACGTCATTCAAGCCTCCAACAGTCCATTAAGGCAGGATATGCAGTGCCATTGACAATGGAGGAATTGAACCGAATTCGTGCAACAAGCTTGCTTATGAATTTGACGTATCGAATTCGTCATCCAGCGTGCAGAATAGTTACCCCCTAAAAAAAAAAAAAAAAAAAAAAGAATTGATCAGGTCGACTTCTTCTCTAATTACCATGAAAGGAGGCTTAATCTAACCCCGGACGACGCCGAAGCAGGGAAAGGGACGGGGAGATTGGTCATCCTTGTAAATCTATCTTCCGTGTCCCGATTGATATTGGTTTTGATCGTCCAACAGTTGGTTTTGAGTTATAGATACGGACTTAGCGGCGCCTATACTCGGTTACCGAGTATGTAACCAAGATAGGTTAGCCTTGGGGCCCGATCTGGCCAATCGTGGCTCATGTGGAGTTCCTTGACTGCATACGTTGTGTAGAAACGGCGTTAGTCAGCCTCAAGTTATTTTGATTGATAATCAAAACTAGAGAGCCGGATCGGATGCCGCGTTAAATTTCGGGGTTAAGTTAGATGTATCTTGCCATGGATCAAGCTGCTATAGTCGGCTTCCTTCATTGACTTGCCGTTTTTAGTCTTACTCCTATCAATAACCACAACTTTCCTGTCATTGAGGCTGGATATGGCGTCAATTCGAAGACACTGGGCATCTTAGGACGTCACAAGAACACCGTGTGAGCAGAGCTCACATGCGGTGGTTTTGCTAAGGTAGAGAGCATTGCTGAAACTTTTGACGCCTCGGAACTTTACATGCGGGATGGTCAAAACATCTGGCTGGTCCCTGATTTATGCGCTCTGGGAACTGGACGTGCGACTTGCGTCGCATATTTTTGTTCCTCAAGGTGAGTAGGATCCTTCTTGCTCTTGAGATGTTGATCCAGAATTCCTGACGGTGTAGTCTGATAGACGATAGACCGGTGTTGAACTCCACAACGACCACTGTGAACTCCAAAAATAGGTTGATATTGCAAATTGAGGATTTTTGAAGTTAGGAATTAAAGGGACAAATGGGGGCGTCTCGAGAAATTCGGTTGCCCTGAATCCCGGGATGATTGTCCAGGCCATGTCCACGATATCCAGAGAAAGAAAGAAGAGCAACACTAGACTAGCATTTGCATCAAACCGCAGCTTATTGACGATTACGTGGGTATACGATGCCTTGCTTCGGAAGATACACGTCAACATGACCGCACACAGAGGTTATATGACGTTTTCATACCTTCACAAAGTGGACAATACGTTACCTCCCTAGTATCTACCATTTTGATGTCGGATAGTCAGGTGGTCTCTGTTAGAAGCTAGGCGGAAATACGTCACTTCCAACTGCTAGGCTAATGTTTACCGAGTGTGGTCACCTCCTGAAGCGGGCGCAGCTTCAATCTGTCTCAAAAGTACGTTGTGTTCCATGTATTCTTCCTGGTATGTTGTAATTTGAATACCAGTATATTCTTTTAGAAAAGAACTACCGACACAAGCTATATAAGAACCTGTAGATTATCAGTCCCATGGCAGTGGAAATATATCCTCGAACACAGCTGTTGATCCTTGGTTGGTATTCCTATAAGAAGCAGTTAGTTGGACCAAGTGTCGTGGAAGTCCGGAAAAGAGGTGAGCAACACGTGTGACCATTAAGCGCGCGGAAACCTCGGAGCTGCAGCTAGTTACTTCGGCGCCTCGCCTCTGCGCGTCTGTTCATCCAAAACCTCCTTTCTTTATCCCTTTTTTTGACCTGTTCTTCCTCTGGCTCGTTCAGTCATTCAATTGACATGTCCACACTCCAGTCAAATTGCAGAACATAATATCTTATCCCGGAATCATTTGTCCTGCGTTCTACGGTTGCTCTATGGGTCTATCCCTCACTAACTAGTTAACCCTCCGGGATCGAAGTAGATGAATATCGTTGACCATCTCCGTGTCCCTTTTCCGGTGCATCAAAAAATCGGCAGCTCCAATTTCATGCTCACTCAAATCTCTGAGGGGCAAACCTGGACATCTTCTGGTGTTCATCTCGGATTAGGATACTCACAATGGCTTTCAACTTTCTTTTTGCTCCCATGGAGCAACAGATTGCTTCTTTCAATGATTTGTTCCACAAAGTCCTTCAGAACTTGCCCTTGTCCGTTCCCAGAACATAAGTTAACTTGACAAACTCCATACTGAACACAATGGGCTCTCTGGATTTGGTGTTAACAACGGAATTTTTGAAATTGTCATTGCCAACACTTCTAGAAGCTTAGACAAAGAAGACGAAGAAGCTCTACCCCTAACTCTGGGCTTGCTATCATTTATTTCCGCCAACCCTTGGCCCCCATTTCATATTGAATCACTGAGTTATCACGTTTGGGAGCGTATCTTTGAACTAGGTGGAAAGCGTGTGAAGCTTGATTTTGATCTGATACATGAGCAGGAAACTTGGATGCAGTGTCTCCGCACAGGCAAAGGTGATGAGTTGCTGGCTCTATTGCTTGCCTAAACACCAATCTAAAACGTATGGATTTTATGAATGCAACGTTGGATCTAATCGGCTCATACGTGGCCTGGATTGTCGTTAGAGGTGCTGTGCAGAGTTACGACGAGATCATCAACCAAGCTCTTTCGTCTGTCGAGTCCGAAGGAATCGCTTGTCCAAGCGGAGATTAACGGAGACGTGAATGAGTGCCAAGAGTTGATTGGTGAAAATGAGATGATTATGATTTCGACAAGCTACTCCAACGACGTCAACGGACCCATCACCAAAATCTTCAAATTTTCTTCTGGTTCCTTACACTTCTCCCCAATTTTCAAGAAGTGAAAATAAGGTCCTATCACATCCGGCATTTCGAATCCACGGGTGGATGAAATTTTAGACTGGCAAAGGACTTTCTTGGCCTTGGCAGCTTCAGCTTAGACAACTACATCCTCAACAAACGGTCAACCCTCAATCTCTTCAGCTAATCCAAGCGAATATACAACCCCAAAGTTGAACAGCTATTCCTCTAGCTTCATGAAGAAACCTTACTCAACAGCGGCTTCACAAAGAATGAGGTACGGCATTCCGTATTCTCAACTGACCACCTCACACGCTACATTAGATCGGTGACCCTTGGGTTTATATGCAGAAACGGAAATTATCCGCGGGAGAGACGCAGGTGAAATTTTCAGGGCCAAGAAGGTGGGCCGTTTCGTTAAGGGTATCTTTTTGAACATCTCCATTAACGAATATTGCTGGTGTTTCCACGGAGTCTTGGTTAAGAAGAGTTGGTAGATATGAAAGTCTGCAGTCGGGAGTTCGCACTTGTTAGTGAGGAGTTTCGATATGCATGCCGTTAGATTTGTAGTTGTTATATTTGATGGACTATATGGTTTTCCCTTTATGTTACGTTGTTATGAGGTGTGATTGAACGGATGCTTTAATGGGTTGAGGTTGAGGAGATGATAAGGTGTAAAGTTCGGAGGTTTATCATGAGTGGATATTGTTCAGTTGAGAAGTATCTACTCTTAACCATAACAGGTGGAAACGGCACAAATGGCTATCAACATTTTCTTCATAACAAAATGTTGCACGGGTCATCCTAGTGGTCATTCTTTGCAGGAAGAAATAACAAAGTCACCATCCGAAATACAGAACTGGAATAAATATACCAGTGGGGGAGTGAGATTAAAAAATATAAAGCGAAAAGAAATGGGGACCCGAAACCACATATAGACCCCACACAATACCAACAAAACATGCAACAAATTCCTCCCCAATAAAAAGGATAAGAATTCGTAACCACTAATTCCCGAAATCTCCCAATAACCAAGATCAAGAATAAAGTCATTATAAGCATGACAGTCTCACACGCAACCCATGAACAAATATTCCAACCAGACATCCTCCCAATCTTTTTCATTCTACCACCTCCAATCCCTTTCACCACTCTCACCTCCTCTCGCAATCCAGATCTCACGACTAATCTCATTCCACACAATCAGTCCGTTCACATCGCACACAGAAGCCATCCACATAATCCTCTCCACAACCTCCTTCAGCTGATTCCAACTCTGAACCCCAAACACCTGCACTACATTCCCCGCTTGTTCCACAAACCACTCCTCAGACGACGTGTTCCTTGCCGCAATGGCCCCCAGCAGCACCACCCAGAGCAGCAACTCCGCTGCCCCGCTCCAACAACTCTCATGAAGATTAGGGTTGTTGAGGTTAACACTTTTAATCTCGGCGGCTAGCAGTGCTCCTTTCATTAACCGGCAGAGACGCCGGAAGGGTCTGTTGGCTGCTGGTAAGGGGTAGACTACTAGCAAACTGAATATCATCGCTGCTATGCGGGTGGGTTCGTAAATTTTGTAGTTTTCTGATTGTTGTATGCTGTCGTCGTAGCTGCAATTGTGTGAGGCGTTCATTGGGTCGGGGTTGTGATAGTATTTGGCGCATTCGTTGATAGAATTTAGACTTAGCAGTTGATATTGTATCCAGTTGCGCCTGTCGGCGATTGCGGCAAGTTCAAGACCAGGGAGGAGGCCCTGGGTGTGTAGGTTTATGACGGCGGTGTAGTTTTGCATGTGACGTAGGACTCTGGTGAGGGTTTTGGAGAGGTTGGCGGTTGTGAATATGTCACTGGGGTTGGGGTCTGTGTAGGGGTCGTGGGCGGGTATTGGTTGGAGGTTGACGAAGAGATTTACCGTATTAACGGGCACAACGCAAGCGTTTAAGGATAGATCGGGCCAATTAGGTGTTTTTCCCACTAAGGTGTCTTTAAAGATGGGAATAAAAGGGAGGCGGGGTTTCGCGAGATATTTAGTTGTGAGCATTATGTGCGATCTACAGCATGGAAAATGGGGTGGTTTAGCAGTGTGTTTGCGATTGACAGAAACAATAAAGAAAGATGAGAGGAGATATTTACGTTGAGATAGTTTCTGCCAGACCAGGCAAGGTAATTTTATCCAGCCCACCCTTTGTTTGAATTAGTGTAAAGAGGCCCTTGACGTGCTGATCATTTAGCGACAAGCCGCCATAGACATGTAGCCATTGAAGGTTACAAAGGGGCACCCTTGGAGAGGTATCAGTATTTGTCGTCCATACGGAGTAATTGATCTTGTTAAAGGCCATGCATAATACTGCCAAGATAATTTCGTCAGTGCAGAGCTGCTGAGGATCAACCAGCATTTTATTTAGCTGTTTGATCGTCTCTGTCTCGCATATGACCTGTTCGAGCTTCTCTTCCCGCGTTTGTGGGGCAACCTGGGAGCTTTCCAATCGTTTCCGCGTCTGTAAATGTCCTGCGGCGCCATACAGGAAGGCTGTGAACAGGGCTGGATTGGCCAATGCGGGCGGAAGCCAACTCTTCATTACATCTTCTTGTCTCCATATGTGGTTCGAAGCACCAGGGACGAGACCGGGCCAGAGCTCAAAGGTGGCTACGTCCGTTATCAACAAGCGATGGTTAGTATAAAGCTCCGAAGCGATTTCTGGACCGTTCCAACAATCAGAAGAGCGAAGCATATAACTCACCATATCGCATTAACTTGTTAATTGAAGAACTCTTGAGCATGGAGGGGAAAACGTGGGGTGGCTCGCCAACATATGTCATGAGCTGGTTAAAGGGGCCGGTTACCGTATTATTTCCATTTTCATATGTATCTGGCGCTTCTCCCATATTCGATCCCGCTGATTGAACGTTCGAGGAATACTGAGTGACTTGTCGGCTGCCGTACACCGTACACGAACTCACCCCAGCTTCCACCATGTAGTCGTCCTCAGTGGTAGATGAGGTATATTTCTGGGGTGGCGGGAGGAGTAATAGAGACTCCTCCCCTTTGACAATATCGGATGCTAGCGGCCATGGCCTTTTCTCTGTGGCAATATTTGGATCATCAGGAGATGGTAAGGATTCTGTCGGCGGGTGAGACGATTTGGAATTTGAAGAACCACGATCTGCTCGGACAGCTCGATGCTGGCGCCAGATATATTTGCTGGCATGCGAGCGAATAACTGATCTGTTTTCTGATT